CATAATCTGTCAAATGTAATACCTGGATGTCCTGCAGTTTGCAAGCCAGCATGCTTTTCTGACCATTCTGACCTAAACTCGTCTGCTCAGTTATATCACATATGTCACATTGTCTCAAGCAAGAACAAGAAGCTGGAGCCACCAGGATGGCACAGACAGAGCAGAGAACATTTTCCACATGAGGTGGGAGGCTTGCGCACACATTTTATTAGTTACAGATTGCTTGCACATTATCATAAGCGGTAACATAAACCCTGAGTAAAAACAATGATTTATGGTGTTTACTAAAAGTATACCAACAGTTATAATAAATTGAAATCTATTCCAGTTCAGCCTTCAGTTTAAACAGCACTCTCATGCGGCTCTACAGGCATCACTGTTGATGTCTGAACACTAAATGAGCGAGTGAAATTTCAAGTGTTTCTCACACTGAATTATTTCTCCCTCAGGCTTATATCTGCCTCTGTTCTCCATGGTCTTAACACAGCAAACAGCAAATGAGTATTCAATGTACTGTACGCCCCACAACCTAAACACTCATCATTTTGCAATCAATTATGCAAATGTTGTGCACAGCTGAGTGCAGCGGAAAAGAATTGTCACAGCGGAGTGATGTGCCACATGTGAACATTTCTTGGCTTCAACTGCGATGCCCATAAGATGCAAAAACACCCCAAACCATAACAAAAAAAAGACTCTTTCTTGAACATAGGCTGTGCTAGCATGTGTTGTCTGTTAGTGAATCCAATCTGAATGAATATTTCTCAACAATGCAGACAAAAGACGCACACGTCTGGAGTCTAAATCTGTTTAAATAGCAGAGCGGCTGGTGGACAGTTAATGAGAAGAGCAGCACATAGAATGAAGCAGAGGGAGTGTGTGTGTGTGTTACGTGTCTGTGTATGAATCTTTTGTGCTTTGCTTGGAAAATAAAAAAACAGGTGTTTATTCATCCCTGATTTGGAATGGGTCTGTCTGTGGAGCAGAGAGGCTGGCGGTGGGGCAGACCTGTGTTTGGGTTTAAAATGATCATCTCTGCTGCTATCTGGACCAGCAGCGGAAGCTCTACAGTCTGAATAATTTATGGACACAAGAAGCTGCAAAGTCTGCAGCTCAGCTGATAAATTCCCCACTGACTGTGTCAGACACACAACAAGAAAAGGCTACAGATCAACATGAATGCATGTGTGAGCCAGCATGCGGTACAGTCAGGGTGAATGTGTCTTTCTGCACGTGTTCACGTTTGTGATCGCATGTTCTTGTGTTTTGGAGATGAATGTGAGGTCATGTTCACAAATTTGTTTGCACAGACTTTAGCCACTAAAATGTTTGGAGATGTTTTTGTTTTGTTTTGTTTGTTGTGCATGACTTGTATTATTTGATTGAGTTTTTTCCATGAAGTGAAGCATATCTGTCAGAGAATGACAGGACAAAACACGGAAAACTCAATCTTTAAATCCTGTGGTGGTAAAACCAACCAGCAGGTTTGAAAGGCATGTTATTAAAGAAAAAGAAAAAAAAATCACCAGAATTACAACATAGAGCCAGAAACTAACAGAACAAATCACCAGATTATTAACTTTCTGAAAACTACTTCTTTGTGACTTGGGCTGAAAGGATACTCAGACAGGAAGAAGACATCACTCCAAAAGCAACATAAAAAAAAGCCAGATTACAATTTGCAAATGCACACAGGGACAAAGGCCTTCATTTTTCGGGACACGTCCTGGGGTCTAATGGAACTAAAATTGAACTGTTTGGCCATAATGACCATCGTTACATTTGGAGGAAAAAGGAGGAAGCCTGAGAACAACATCCCAACTGTGAAGTACGGGGGTGGCAGCATCATGTTGTGGGGGTGTTTTGCTGCAGGAGGGACTGGTGCACGTCACGAAATAGATGACATCATGAGGAAAGAACATCATGTGGAAATATTGAAGCAACATCTCAAGACATCAGGCAGGAAGTTAAAGCTTGGGCAGATGGACAATGAACCTAAGCATACTGCCAAATTAGTTACAAGTGCCTTAAGGACAGCAAAGTCAGTGTTGTGGAGCGGCCATCACAAAGCCCTGATCTCAGTCCTGTAGAAAATTTGTGGTCAGAGATGAAAAGGTGTGTGGAGCAACAAACCTGACTCAGTTCCACCAGTTCTGTCAGGAGGAACGGACCTGAATTCCAGCAAACTATCGTGAGAAGCTTGTTGAAGGAAACCCAAAACATTTGACCCAACTGCTCGTTTGTGACTTGCCGTCCCATTGGACAACTATAATGCTGCATCAAAACTTTGCTTTATTCTACATGTCTCATTAAAAATGTACGAAAAAAAAACACACCACTTGGACCAGATTCTGAAAAAAGCAAAAATTCTGTTCCTTCCAGTGCAATCGTGAAGCCATTAGTAACTGTCAGACACAAACTCTGGGACTTGTCGGCTGAACTGCAGGCTGTGTTTGCATGAGCAGATAGAAAATTGTTTGGACAGCAGTGAAAGTTAGTGGTTATGGTTTTGGGTTTGTCATGACCTGACCTTCCAGAAATATGGAACTTTTTAAACAGGCAATTTAAAAAATGCTAACAGGTGGAATTTAAGTTCTTGTTTTTTCTAGTATTTCAGCTTGCTAACATCTGCTGAGCACCACATGAAGCGACTTCTTGGCCATAATTTCCAATGATTAGTTCAAACAATGTGAATCTTTTCATGAACACAGATGAATGTGCCACTCTGAATGGAATACAGTGGGTTTTTTTTCCTCTCTCTCTTTTTTCTTTTGAGTCACTGCCTTGATTGATTCAAGCCATGCACAGTATCATTACCACTTCTTTTGTTTGGTGATTGCACCAGACATCCACTGAGATCACCTGGTGCCCCACAAGCTACAAACTTGACATTATAAAGATGAGAATATTGATGATAAGCCCTCAGGTCAAAAACCGTACAAAGGATTCATGAACCCAGAGGTCGCACTATGAATTCACCTTGTATGCACGATGAGCACATCAGATATCGATGCCCGCTGACACTTTGCCTCAGGTGTGTTATTGAACTGTCGTGTTTTTTGTGATATTCTGTCACTTATACGCTGATATGATATCAGAGGTGAACAATTGCTCCCTGCAAGTATCATTAAAAGTGCTGCTACGTATGTATGTCCTCATTGAAATGACAGTTTGGACATTTGGACGCTGTGTTTGTTGCTGGGGTTGTAGCAAAAGCTTTTTGGTGTGTTTCTGCCGTATTGCACAGTTTGGATTGCCCTCAAACTCTGTACAGAAAATGAAGTGAAATCCAACTTTTAATGTTTGTTTCAGTAGCGTCAGCAGCAGCAGAAGTCCAGAAACTAGAGAATCAGAGCTCAGAGTGCCTTTCTGGAGGGAGAGACAGGAGCTGCTGAACTGAGAGGCTGCAGAAAGGTTTGACGTAAAACAAATACGTTTTATTACCTGGAAATAATTAGAAAGTTATGCTAATAGAGCCCTGGAATGAGAAGACAGACAAAGTAGCATGTGTGATAGCATCCCATTACCATCCACTTTTTAAAAACCGTGACCCACCTGTCCATTTTTGGTGCTCTCACACACTGTGACAGTGTTGCCCCCGGAGATGGATGGGATGTTGTCGTTGACGTCCAGGACCTGGATTGTGACGGGGACATGACTCACCATACGTGGGTTATCTGAAATAAACACAAGCAACGGATTTTAGTTGCTGCAGCAGTTTCCTGTTTTCAAAGAAGAGACGCATTGACTGTCAGTAAGACACAAACAATCACAAAGCATGTCATCATAACTGTTTTTATATTGATGCTGCCCATAGGATAGGTATTGTACTCAGCAACATGTTACAGGTATTTTAATCACTTATTTTAAAGGAGTTATCGGCTGTTCTGGAAAAATAAGCATTATTTATTTCAACTTCACAGTAGGGTTATATCACTTCTAACTGTATCAAAGGATCTTGTAAAGACAGAAGCCTCTTAGAGACCCGAAGGTAATGGATCAGAAACTTGTCTGACAAGTGCAACTGCAATCATGCTGCAATCCAGTATGTTGCAAGTGCTTCCAAGCAACTGTATGAAGTCAAAGGTGTGAAGGACTCATAGATAAAACCAAGATCCACCCAGATCTACAATGTCACATGCTATGAAAAGATGCATCATTATTGAGATTATCATTTGTCTTTGTAAATAGAGGATGTATTTGGTGTAAATGGTGATGTGCAAGTGTGTATATTTTAAATTAAAATGACTCTAAATCTTTGGGAGAAATTGAAAACCACTACATGAGACTATTTGGCCAAACTGACCAGTCAAACAAGAAAGGCTTCAATCAGGGAGATAACCAGGCGTCCAACAGTCACTCTATCAAAGTTCAGATGTCCTTTGCAGAAGTGGGAGAACACGTGAGAAGGCCAGCCATCTTAGCAGCATTCATTAATCATAACTTTATATGGTGGAATGGCAAGACAGAAGCTATTTGGAGTAGAAGTCTGATGAGAAACCACCTGGCTAATACCATCCCTATGGTGAAGCATGGTGGCGGCAGCATCATGCTATGGAGCTGCTTCTGAGCAGCAAGAAAAGAGAGAATGATGGCAGTTCAAAGACACTTCCCATCCAGTCTAAAGGGGATCTTTGAGGAGGAATAAGGTACACTGTCCACATCCTGGTGTGCAAAGCATAGACTGTATAAAAGATGGACGTAGCAACCGGCCCCGAAAAGTGAAGCCAACCCGGAAGTGTCAAAAACCTGTAATATCACTACATCCGCTAGTCCTGGCTCCAAAAAGCCCTGGCTCCCATAGAAATGAATTGGAAAAGAAGTGATCACAGATCATGAAATACTGCATTCCTCCAGCTCAGGATTTTTTTTTTTTAAATTAGTTTTTATAGTCAAGTCCAGAGATCAGGTGGCCAATCTGAAAATAAATCAATACTGAATTTTTAAAAAATCATCAACATTTTGCGGGGCAAGGGGCGTGGCTGGCTTGATTGACAGTCGGCAGACGAAGCGAGCAGAAGGCGGTAGATGTGAGCGGACAGAGAGGACCCGCCTCTCAATCCGTCTGACCAATCGCTGCTCCTATGGCTCCGCCCCCCTCCGGCGATTTTTGCGTCACTGGCTCCAAAAATCCAAGATGTCAACCAGGAAGTAGCAGAACCCTGGCTTCATTTTCTCAGTGCAGAAACCAACGGGTGACGTCACGGAAGCTACGTCCATCTTTTATACAGTCTATGGTGCAAAGCCAGTAGAGACTTAATGAGGAAGACCCAAAGCTGTAAGACTCAAAGGGGCTAAATTTCCCATCATTCAAAAAAAAAAAAAAAATTCATGTTGGCATTATGGGTAATTAGAGTAGTTTGATATGCAAAATTGAAATTGCATACATTTTATATTAAATTAGACTGGCTGTACAACATAGGAAAGTGTGTAGCAGGTGAAGGTAACTGAATAGTTCCTGAAATCGTTGCACCGTAGTTCCCAGACGTTTCGGATCCATTGATAAATATGGCAGCTGCTTTAACGATCAATTATTAACATGTGCTCACAGCAATATAGAGTTTTATGAGCAGCAGCGAGTGCTCTGAATCTGTTTCGTGTTTCATCTCTCAGGCCGCATACCGGGTTGCTTTGGGCAAACCCACCTACCGAACTCAAATAGAGCTTTCATCACAGCAGACACTTCATCTTATTCGTTAAAGCCCAATGTGCTGCCGTCTGTAACACAAATATGAAACAGTGTGGTGACTAATCACAACTTATGCCCAGTCCTGACAGACTGCATCTAAACGGGCCCACTTCAAAAGCAAACACAATCAAGCAGATCAAGCCTTGATTACAGATTATGATCAAGGTAACGTTTCTGTTTGTTTCAATGTTTGTCAGATGTTTCCCAATATAAATCAGACATGCGGTTGCTTATGTAATAAATACGTGTCTAAATACGCAGTAAATATGTAGCAGGTGTGAGAACTTTATCAGTGGAGAGGCTGCCAAATAGCATTAGTTCCCTCTGTAACTGAAAATCCATGGAAACTCTGCTGATATGTTTATGCTCAAGGCTGATTTCTGCTGTGTCCCCGGACAATCAATAGACAGCACAGTGCTCCTATAAGAAGCGTAAATCATTTAGAAGCTATGTGTGCTGAGTAATCCACTGGCATACCGCTCAGTAAGACATCATTCAGCGCGCCGTTGAGCTGCTGTTGGAGTGGATTGGGTCTACATGCTATTTTACCGGGGCAGATAGATTGTAATGCACACTGTATTGACAGCGATGTTTTTTTTAAGATCCAGCTTTCACGCGCTCTTGACAAATATGGCCTCGGCACGCCCCGCGGGAGCTGAAGTTGTGAAATGATAAAGAAGTAACTGTAGTTGTGTCTGCGTTAAAATGACAAAATGCTGAAGCCTTTCCAGCAAATACAGCAGGAGATAATGTATTGTGGAATATGTTGCTTCAGCCAGCCAGTCAGCAGATAGGTGAGGAAAAGGGCAGTGTTGTCTCCAAACTACGAGAGGGTTGGTGCACAGTTTATGGAGGTGATTTCACAGATTATTCGTCACAGTGATCTTGTGTGGCTTTTTAAAACACCTTTTCTACAAGCAAACAGCTGATCTGCTGCATAGATTTACAGCTTCTACAGTGAAATTATCAACAAAGCAGTCGTGTTCAAGATGAATCCAGCACCAGAGTTGATAATTGTTTTTTTTATCTTACGTACAGATGCATGAGTGGATTATTACAACGAGCTTTTAGTTTTGCTTTGCAGTAGCTGTAAAATGTTCTAGTTTAAGTCAGAAACGCTCCCGAAAAGTTTCTTCTCTGTGGAACATTCAGGCGATCTGTGTCATGAGGTTTCTCAGGAGGTTGTTGTTGGTATTTTCTGTAGTAAAAGGGAATTTTGAAAACAGTA